TGGCATCGGACCTGGCTATCTTCGAGACCGCCTCCTGCCACAGATTACCCCCCACCGACCTGTACGCTCTCACAGAGTGGGTCTCCTCAGGGTGCCGTCAGCCAGACAGTGCCGGCTGGCGACCCCAAGGGGGAGGGCCTTCTCTGTGGGAGCTCCCACCCTCTGGAACGAACTGCCCCCAGAGATCAGGGTGATCCCTCATCTCCCTTCCTTCCGCCGCGCCCTCAAGACGTGGTTGTTCCAGCTTGCGGGACTGGCCTAAGGGATTTTAAAGGGGTTTTAATTACTTTTAATCTGACAAATTTAAATATTTCTTTTTAATCAAATTTTAAGTAGGTGTATAATATGTTAGTATTTTATTCAATTGTCAGCCGCCCTGAGTCCGCAAGGAGAAGGGCGGGATATAAATGTAATTAATAAATAAATAAATAAATAAATCTTATGCCTTTATGTGCATTTTTAACGCAGCCATGTGAATTTCATGATGCTATGTGCATCTTATGCCTTTATGTGTGCTTTTAATGCTGCCATGTACATTTTACACTTTTATGTACATGTTATGCCTTTATGTCTGTTTTTAAAGCAGCCATGTGCATTTGTATGTTTTATGTGCATGTTATGCCTTTATGTGTGTTTTTAATGCTTCCATGAGCCATTTTCTGTACATTTTGTATGCTGTTATGCTGGCTTTATGTGATTTTTTTCCCCTGCTTTTTCTCTGTTTTAATGCCTCTCTGTGCCTTTCTATGCATCTATGTATGATTTGTGCTTTTATGTGTGTTTTTAGGTTTCCAGGCATATTTTTATGCTTTGATGTTATATTCCATATTCTGATGTGAATTTTATGTGGATTTTTTCCTGCCTTGTGCCTATGTACATTTTTATACAATACATTTTTATACCTTTATATCTTTATGCCAACTTGAACAGCAAAGTACTGTAACACTAATGTTTCTCTCACTCACCTTTAAACTCCGCATCGGTTAAGATTTTTAGCGATTCCAGCAGGAAGATCAGCAAATCATCCAATTGGCTCGGGTCTCCTTGCGCTACAGCATCAAAGAGACTCCTCCGGTCGTATAGCTTGAAAGCTTTCCCAGCACATACCCCAATGGATGCTGTGGACAGTAGCCTGCCGAAGGAAAGGGAAGGGGATGAGATTTGCTAATTGATTGATTGATTAATTAAATTTATATGCCTCTCATCACACTACTGAAGCGACTCTGCTGATTGTCGGCGGTAACTGGAAGCCCACTTTCCCTGCATCTCTTATAGGAGAGTAATGTCACTTCGTGGTCGCCAAAATCGCGAGTCTAAAAAGACTCTTCTGATTGTATATCTTGAAAGCTTTCCCAACACATACCCCGATGGATGCTGTGGACAGTAGCCTGCCAAAGGAAAGGGGAGGAATGGGGATGAGATGTACTGATTGATTGATTAAATTTATATGCCTCCCATCGCACTACTGAAGCGACTCTGCTGATTGTCGGCAGTAACCGGAAGTCCACTTTCCCTGCATCTCTGATAAGAGAGTCATGTTCCTCTGTGGTCGCCAACCACTTTGATAACCACTTTTCAAGCTGATACCCAGGGGAGTCCTCAACTTACAACCATTTGTTTAGTGAGCATTCAAAGTTGCAATGGCACTGGAAAAAAAGTGACTTATTTGAAAATAAAACTGCCAAATGCCCCCAAATCTTTGATGTTTCTCTTTTCCAATACGGCATTGCTGGACCTCGTTCCAACCTGGAGAAAGGAAATGCCCAGATTGTTTATTTATTTATTATATCCTACTTTTATTATTTTTATAAGTAACACAAGGCACCAAATGTACATAACTTTTCTTGCTACTCCTGTTGTCCCCACAACAATAACCCTAGGAGGTGGGTTGGTCTCAGAAAGAGGGACTGATCCAAAGTTGCCCAGCCAGCTTTCATGCCTAAGGTGGAACTAGAACTCACCGGCTCCTGGTGATTGGCCCAAAGTCACCCAGCTGGCTTTTGTGTCTAATGTGGGACTAGAACTCTTTGTCTCCTGGTGACTGGCTCAAGGTCACACAGCAAGCTCTCATGCCTAAGGTGGGAGTAGAATTCACAGTCTCCTGATGACTGGCCCAAAATCACTCAACCAACTTCCAT